ATTTGGGGTGGAGAGTTCTGTAGATGTCTACTGGGGCTTGTTCCAAAGCTGAGTTCAAGTCCTGAATACCCTTGTTAATTTTCCCATTTGTTGATCTGTCTAATACTAACAGTGGGGTGTTAAAGTATCCCACCATTATTGTGTGGGAGTCCAAATCTCTTTGTAGGTCTCTAAGAACTTGCTTTATGAATCTGGGTGCTCCTGTATTGGGTGCATATATATTTAGAATAGTTGGCTCTTCTTGTTGCATTGATCCGTTTACCACTATGTAATGCCCTTTTTTGTCTTTTTTGATCTTTGTTGGTTTAAACTATGTTTTATCAGAGACTACGATTGCAACCCCTGCTTTTTTCTCCTTTCCATTTGCGTGGTAAATATTCCTCCAACCTTTTATTTTGAGCCTATGTGTGTCCTTGCATGTGAGATGGGTCTCCTGAATACAGCACACTGATGGGTCTTGACTTTTTATTCTATTTGCCTGTCTGTGTCTTTTAATTGGGGCATTTAGCCCATTTATATTTAAGGTTAATATTGTTACGTGTGAATTTGATCCTGTCATTATGATCCTTGCTGGTTATTTTGCCTGATAGTTGATGCAGTTTCTTCATAGTGTTGATTGTCTTTACAATTTGGTATGTTTTTACAGTGGCTGGTACCGGTTTTTCCTTTCCATGTTTAATGCTTCCTTTAGCAGCTCTTGTAAGGCAAGCCTGGTGGTGACAATATCTCTGAGCATTTGCTTGTCTGTAAAGGATTTTATTTCTCCTTCTCTTAGGAAGCTTAGTTTGGCTGGATATGAAATTCTGAGTTGAAAATTCTTTTCTTTAAGAATGTTGAATATTGGCTCTCACTCTCTTCTGGCTTGGAGGGTTTCTGCAGAAAGATCTGCTGTTAGTCTGATGGACTTCCATTTTTGGGTAACCCAACCTTTGTCTCTGGCTGCCCTTAACATTTTTTCCTTCATTTCAACCTTGGTGAATCTGACGATTATGTGTCTTTGGGTTGCTCTTCTCGAGGAGTATCTTTGTGGTGTTCTCTGTATTTCCTGAATTTGAATGTTAGCCTGCCTTACTAGGTTGGGGAAGTTCTCTCAGAAAATATCCTGAAGAGCATTTTCCAACTTCGTTCCACTCTCCCCGACACTTTCAGGTACGCCAATCAAACGTAGTTTTGGTCTTTTCACATAGTCCATATTGGAGCCTTCGTTCATTCATTTTCATGCTTTTTTCTCTAATCTTGTCTTCACGCTTTATTTCATTAAGTTGATCTTCAATCTCTGATATCCTTTCTTCCAATTGATCTATCCAGCTATTGATACTTGTGTATGCCTCACCAAGTTCTTGTGCTGTGTTTTTCAGCTTCATCAGGTCATGTGTGTTCTTCTCTAAACTGGCTATTCTAGTTAGCAGTTCCTGTAACCTTTTACCAAGGTTCTTAGCTTCCTTGCATTGGGTTAGAACACACTCCTTTAGCTTGGAGGAGTTTGTTATTAGCCACCTTCTGAAACCTACCTCTGTCAATTCATCAGACTCATTCTCTGTCCAGTTTTGTTCCCTTGCTGATGAGTATTTTTGATCCTCTGGAGGAGAAGAGGTGTCTGGTTTTTGGAATTTTCAGCCTTTTTGCCCTGGTTTTTCCTCATCTTTGTGAATTTGGTCTTTGATGTTGGTGATCTTCAGATGGGGTTTCTGTGTGGACATCCTTTTTGTTGATGTTGATGCTATTCCTTTCTGTTTGTTAACTTTCCTTCTAACAGTCAGGCCCCTCTGCTGCAGGTCTGCTGCAATTTGCTGGAGGTCCACTCCAGACCCTGTTTGCCTGGGTATTACCAGTGAAGGCTGCAGAATAGCAAAGATTGCTGCCTCTTCTTTCCTCTGGAATAGAGGGAGGCACCCACCAGAGGGTGCACCAAAGGGGCACCCACCAGATGCCAGCCAGAGCTCTCCTTTAGGAAGTGTCTGTTGACCACTGCTGGGAGGTGTCTCCCAGTCAGGAGGCATGGGGGTCAGGCACCCACTTGAGGAGGCAGTCTGTTCGTTAGCAGAACTTGAGCACTGTGCTGGGAGATCCACTGCTCTCTTCAGAGCTGGCAGGCAGGAATGTTTAAGTCTGCTGAAGCTGTGCCTACAGTTGCCCCTTCCCCTAGGTGCACTGTCCAAGGGAGAGGGGAGTTTTATCTATAAGCTCCTGCCTGGGGCGGGTGCCTTTCTTTCAGAGTAGCCCTGCACAAAGAGGAGGAATCTAGACAGGCAGTCTGAAGCTGTCATCTCTTATCATAGTAATGCCTTCTTCTGGAATACCTTCAGAAGGACCTGCCTGTGGCTATTTTACAGTTAACATTATTTTATAAGTAGAATGTGTACACTTTAAAATAATGATGAAATGTATAGTGTATTAAATACATAAAGCATTAACATATTTGTTTATTATTATTATCAAGTATTATGTACTGTTCATAATTTTATGTGCTATCATTTTATACTCCTGGCAGCAAAGTAGGTTTGTTTACACCAACATCACCACAAAGAGATGAGTAATGTGCTGTACTTGGGTATTACAATGGCTCAGTGTCACTAGGCAATAGGAATTTTTCAGCTTCATCATAATCTCATGAGACCATCATCTTATATGTGATCAATAATTGACCAAAACATTGTTATGCAGCTCATAACTATTTATAGATACAGATATCAATAATAAAGCTATCAATTCATCTATCTATCTATCATCTATCTATCTATCATCTATCTATCTATCTATCATCTATCTATCTATCTATCATCTATCTATCTATCTATTTGCAAGCTTATATACTTGATACATTAGTGGCTGTGTAATTGTTTATAATTTTGAATTTTTGAAACAAGTTCCAAATTGTCCTTTACATACCCCTATATGCCTACTATAATGGCTAATTTTTAAAAAAAAAAATCAACTGGCAATACTAATGGCTGATGAAGATGTATAGCAACAGAAACTAATTTATTGCTGGCGAGAATGCCAAATGGTATAGTCACTTTGGAAGACAAATTGGCATTTTCTTACAAAGCTAAACATGATCTCACCATTTGATACAATTGTTCTATTAGGCTTTTATCCAGTTAATTTATATCAATAAAAAATCCATATGTGAATGCTTATAGAGTCTTTATTTATAAAGGAGTATTTTAGTAGGTGACTAGATACATAAATTCTGTCACAAAACATAAAAAGAAATGAGCTATCAATAAACTGTGTCACAAAAGATAAAAATAAATGAGCTATCAGGCCACAAAAAGGCACGGTTGAATCTTAATATATATTACTAAATAGGAAAGGTTACATACTATATAATTCCAGTTACATGGAATCCTGAAAAAGTCAAACTTCTAAAGAATACAAAATACAAAAAGAAACAAAGAATGTAAAATAATTTTAAATAATTTATGATACGTAGAGAATTTTCTATCAAGGAAGTGGAGCATATCTCCCAACTCATTAAGAGTGGGTTGCACATAGCAACTTCTTTCCAAAGGGTACAGTATGAAACTAGGGAGAAAAAGAGTGATTTTACAATCTGACAGGTCAGAAACCTGACAGTTCAACATCAACAGTAATGTTATGTTGATAGTGTGTATCCTCGAAGTGATGTGTTGGAAATGTCCCTTTACCTCTGTGGTCCTCCTCCTAACACCAGTCTAATGATGGGACAAAAATCAAACAAATCCCCTCTGAGAAACATCGTATAATATATACCTGACTGGAACTGTTCAAAACTCTTACACCCATCAAAAACAAGGCAAGTCTGAGAAACTCACACCCAAGAGGAGCATAAGGAGACGTCATAACTAAATGTCATGTATCCTAGGTAGGATTCTGGAACAGAAAAAGTGCATTAGGTAAAGCTACATTGTTGGCAAGTTGGAATATTTTGTCAATTCATGAATTCGCTATTTTGAATATTGAACCCTCAGTAAAGACATTTTCAGGAAATTGATTTTTAGCAAAACAGCCATTGGGTATATTGATCAGCTATAATTCTGGAACTTCTGCTTTTCTCTGAGTTTTATAATTGATATCATAGTGGAAAGCTATTTTTTAATCCATCAATATCAAAGACTTAATGGCATTTGACACTTGAGAATGTTAGAAATAAATGCAATAATTGAAAAACCCATGGCATATTGTGACTTAGATTTGAAGATGTATCCAAGTTTTCAAGAAGCGTTGTTTTCAATATTATAGAATTTGACTGTATAATCCATATTCTTTTAACATTTATGAATTCAAAATTTTTTAAACTCTAAATTTGAACTGCATATGAACCAATGTTTTCAAGAGCTGATTTGAACCTAACAACAATTCTATCGTAGAGCAATGACTGTGAATTATCCTTAGGTTAAATATAATAAAACTGTCTTTAGTGAATTTAAATAAATTGCCCAAAGCTCTTATTGTCAGTAGCAGCAGTGGAATTTCAACCTGGGTCTGAACGCTAGCTCTCTGGAGAATTTCTCATGATTCCTATGCCCTTGTATTATTTATTATTCTAAATAATATTATTACAGTAAAGCATTTTTTGTAATTTATTTTAAACAAGACTTTGAAATGTTTGCCTTTTGTGAAAGTATCATACATACAGAAGTTCTATAAAATTTATGTAGAATAAGTAATAATTTTTAAAAAGCTTATATGATTGCCTAACAGAACTTTAAAAAAAAATAAGATTGCATTTAACCTAACCAAAAAACCTGTTTAATTATTTCTTATTTATCTTTATATTTTTACCACTTGTTAAGTATTACTATTTTCCAAGTTTATATGAATGGATTAGTATTGTATGTATTCTTCTATGACTTGTTTTTTAGAAAAAAAAACTTTTGAGATTTATCCATGTTAATGTGTATAACATAGGTCATTGCTTTTCAGCAACGTGTAGTTTTGTTTGAAATGAATATGCCATTATTTTAATTTGTCTGTTTTCATTGTAAATGTATTTTGCAGTTGTTGTCAGTTTGGGATTAAAAATTTTTCTGTGGTTACTTGCCTGTTTATCTATCATGAACTGTGAATATTTTTGTACATGTGCTGGACTATACACATGCAAGAGATTTTTAGAAGTTCTCAAGTGACATTTGAAGAATATGCTCAGAGCTTTCACTACAGACCATAGAAATCAATGATAGCATTCATAAATGTGACTAAACAAGTTCTTATATAAGGTCCATATGAATAAGTACTAGACGAGAGAATTGTAACAACCCTGTAACAGAAGATGCACTATTGTTCAAGCAAGTCCCTCGCTTGATTTTTCTGCATTCATCAATGACACGGGGTGTACAGCTAAGAAAGAATTTCATTTTGCCAGAGAGATAGTGTGCGTGCATATCTTTCTTTACTAGCATTTTGACTTCTTCATCTCTTCTTGAAGAAGACTCTACTGTGTTTTCTTGTAATTTTTTTATGTCAATATTTTGAGTCATTTAGAATAAAACCTACGTTTAAAATTTTGCTTGCAATAGCAAGAATATGAGTGACAATCTTCTTTCCCACTAGCAAAAATGTATTTTCGGTAAATTTTTAAAATTGAACCATAGGGAGCTATTCTGTCAAGGTCATTAAAAATTGAAGCTTGTGGCTATTTCTGTCATGGAAAAGTAATAGCCACTATAAACTTATCCCACTTGAGAAATGAGTAATTCTTTATTTCATTACATTCCCAACCAGAATCTCTGATCCATCAGTAATTACTCACATATTTTTTGGTTCATATAATTTCTATAACTGAAAGAAAAGATCCAAATATATATTTTATTTGCAGAATTATTTTCTACCAAGATAGGTTTTGGTGTAGTAATATTCTAGCACCAATAGTACTTTTCAACAGATTGGTCTCTGAAATATGAATACACATGAAATGGCCTCAAATAAAATAATATGGCAAAGCCATGACAGTTGGCCCTCTGCATATTATCAAAATACCAGACTTTTGCTATGAGACATTCAAGGACAGTGTAAATCCTATATAGTAGAAAAAAAAATGATTCACTACCATAAATATACACAATCTGTAATACTTCTTCATAAAGATATGTGAATATTTATGCATCCTGATGAATTTTCAGGAGTACGAACATGGCCAGAAGAATATCTGAATAATTTAGTGGAGCAACATTTTGTTTACCTTTTTGTCCAGAGAAAAGTAGTTTATAACATGTAAATAATGCATGCCATTTTATGGGATTTTTGTAGTGATTCTTATATTTAGGAAACTGAGATCTGATTCTGTACTTCAAAGATCTTAAAATGAGGTGGGAAGATGAGTCATGTACATGCAAACCGCATATTAAAACATGACAAATAACAAAACTAATAATCAGATGCATCTTTCTGATTTGGTTTTTTGAAAAACTTGAAATACAGAAAATGCACTCCGACTTGATACATCCAGAATCCTCATCATTGTAGATTTCTTGCTCTCATAATACATTTCTATTTCCAAATCACCAAGTGAGAAGATAGACTAATTTGCCAGAGTATAGTTATGATTCCATTCTCCAGAGAACTCCTCAACCAGGGTGCAAACTACTTGTTGCCACTGATAATTCTTCCTTCCCTTCATCAGGAGTAACCCCTGGACATAGGATAGGACTTAGAAGACTTAAAGAAGGATCTTTAGGGAGATCGAAGACTAGGGCTTCACACAGAGAAATAGGAATGTCATCAGAACCCACTGGAGTAAATGTTTGCCTATGATTAAACTATACTACTCCTTTTTGAAGGAAGATAAATAATAAGCATTACTTCCTTTGAACATATCCAATCTAAAAGAGTCAGGGTTGTGTGGTGGAATGAGAACTGTATTACGAGTCAAAAGGCAAACTTTGTAGACCTTGAATTTTACTCACTACTGGCTCTCTTAGTTGCCTTGTCAATTACATTGAAATTAAAATGTGTACCCGGGTTGGTAGTTTTGAATGTTAAGGAAAGATTTGTGGATATAAATGTCTTATATATTACTAGTGGAAAACAAAATGTAGATGTAATAACTATGGTACATTCAATTAATCTACTCTTTATACAGTTTTTAAAATAATGTTAACAAAGTATTTATTATAACATGAGATATGCTTGCAATATAGCATATTAAGAGAGAGTATTATACAAATCCAGATATATGCCATAAATAGACCGTGAATACATGAAGAGTACTGAAACAGCATGCATTGAAACAAAAACAAAAACACATACCCTGGAGACTGATGCTCCCAAAGTGTTAGTAGAAATTGCTTTTGCATGATGAGGCTATCAATGATCTTTTTTCTTCCACATTTCTCTGTTTTCCAAATGCTCTATACCAAAGAAAAGTTTCAATATTTTTCCAATGAAAGAAGAAATACTGTCATTTTGGTTATATACTTTATTTCTCCAGCAAACTTGTTTCTTAAGGGAAAGAGTTGTGCAATTTAGTCCTTTGAATCATAATGTATCAATATGCCTAAATTAAGTGTCCAATACAAATTTTTTCAACTGGCAGATGATTGATAGGTTTTTCCCTGTCAGTACTTTCTAGAACATCGAAAAGGGAAAAATATGACTCAATCTGTTTTGTTTCTAATTCACATCCAAAAGCTTCCATACATCTACCAAGTTATAAGGGTAAAATCTAGGCTGTCGTAAACTGTTTTGAAAGGAATTTTTTTTAAAAAGGAAGAGTCAGTTTGTTAAATCTCTGTGAATAATGTAGCATGTGCAAAATTTGGCATCAGCTCATATTCTGATAGCACCAGACACCAAGAGAAAGGTCTTTCTGGTCTTTTCCTCACTCTAAGGAAGAAATATCATCTTCTTTTACTGCAGAATTAAAAGATGGGGTGAAAAAGAATTGGTTGGGTATTTCTACTGAAATGTCTGTTCCAACACCACAGTTGATAGTAGTACATAGTCTGAGAGCCTTCAATACTCAGTCCCATCTGTTAAAATGGCACAGTGCCTAAATGCCAGATGGTGTACTGGCTTCACAGGGACAGAGGCGCCAGAAAGAGGGCTTTAGAAGACATTTTTAATACCACTCTCTTGGGCCTCCTGCCTTGGTAACAACTCACCCATGTTGGCGACCCTGTCACATTTCACATTGCTTCCATAACATCTAGAAATAAGAGGTTCCAAACACTTACTAAGTCACTTCCTTGAGCTGCCTACTGGTTTCTGATCTTTTGAAAGTTGAAAAAGAATACGAAAGTGGAAAAAAGGAAGCCCGAGAGAGGTCAACATTTAAAGTTTCCAACACCCACAGCTTGTATCTGAGGGTGATTAGGATTATATAACGTGTTTAACCCTATTATGTGAGTGTCAAATGTGTAGACACTGGTTGAGAAATTTACCTATTTTCAATGAGAAGAGAGACACCCTGTTACATGGAAGAACCAGTTTATACGGTCCACTCCACCTAAAGACAAAAAGTGCTCTAGCTATCAAAAAATAAAACACTTTTTCTCATTTAGTTAATGAAAAATGATAATTCCAAAATATATTTACTAATAGCTTAACTATTTCTCAAAACTGTCATGCTAGATAAATAACAAAGAGCATAGACTTTCTAGAAATATAATTTTCAAAAAAAAATCAAACACAAAGTTATACAAATATAGAATGAAGATGTACCACCTATTTGTTAATTCACTTAATTATGTTATCAATAAAATGGCAAACCTGGTTCAAAGAATATTTCAGGAACTAGTTATTTGGACATTTAAAACATGAACATGTTGTCGAGGTAAAATTCAAAGCTTGTTCAGGTTCATCGGGCCAATAACACCACAAACTTTGGGCTGGACTTTTTATGGGAAAAAATTCTCCAGGTTAATATGTAGCTTCAGAAATTCTGAGTTTTAATCAAGCAGCAAATAGCAAAGTCAAACACAGGTACATTCTCCAAGGGAATTAACAATCTCAGATGAGCCTATTAACAAAATGCTCCAGAGCGTCATTGAACAACAATGCTGTACTCTCTTTTGTCTTGTCTCCAAGTCTTGACTACTTTTTCTTGACTGCATCAGAATAGAATCATGTGTCTGTGTATGTGTGTGTGTGTGTGTGTCTGTGTGTGTGTGTGTAAGGGGGTTGATTTGGCAAATCCTAGGAATTTTATTTAACTATAATAGTGATAAGATGGGTTCCCACTCCCACTCCCCTGGGTTTAAATTGTCTTTCTAGCAAATAATTTCTTTTTGTGGAACTCTTTTCCCATGTCATCCACATTCACCAAGAAGGTCAATGTTATTTCCTGATTTTTTAAAAAAGTAATCCTTTTCCCATGCCATCCACACTCAGCAAGAAGCTCAGTGTTATTTCCTGATTAAAAAAATAATAATCATTTACCCTAGGATCTTAACGACATTCTTGTCTCAAATGTTTAGCTATTCTTATCACACATTATTCCAAGCTAATTTAAACATTTTCTTATGTAATTAGTAAAGAAATACAACACTTAAACATAAAATAAAATAGAAATTTGCTAATTGCATTCAGTGCACACATTGGCCTTTCTCTGTCAACTACTCTTCTCACTATCTCACTCTAAGATCAAGTGGGGTTTGGAAGAGATCTTAACCCTGTGGCTGTTACACGAGTCTCAGGCCTAAATAAATCTGCCCTCTGCATTCCTGAATATCTATATATGTGCATGTGTGTGTGTGCACACACATATATACACAAATATGTATATATATTCATGTACATACACATACATATAAACATATATATACATACACATGTAAATATGTATACATGGATATGTATATGGACCAGGCATGGTGGCTCATGCCTGTAATCCCAGCACTTTGGAAGACCAAGGCAGGCAGATCACTTGAGGCCAACAGCTTGATACCAGCCTAGCCAACATGGCAAAAACCCATCTCTACTAAAAATACAAAAATATTAGCTAGATGTGGTGGTACACACCTATAATCCCAGCTACTTGGGAGGCTTGAAGCCAGGAGGTGGAGGCTGCAGTGAGCCAAGATCACGCCACTGTACTCCATCCTGAGCAACAGAGCAAGACTCTATCTAAAAATAAGAAAACAAAAAAAGACATGCATATGTATGTAGGCATGTACTTAATTAGAGGGCATAGTAGTAATACATGATTTTGGGTTTTCATGTTTATTTGAATTTAATAATTCATTTATTTCATCAGGCAGTATTTCCCCAGTCAAGTGATATTCTTTCTATGCTAGACATTGGGCTAGGTGATAGCAATATAACTGAAAATAAAGGTATACACAAAGCCTCCCTTCAGGGAGCTTAACGTCTTGTGAGAAAGACATTAAAAAAATTGTATATCTATTATATATCTAATCAATTTATCTACATCTACTATATATCTCATTTATCTGTATGTAACATGAAAAAGAAATACAAGGTTGTAAGAATGCAAACCACGGAAAACAAACTACTCAGAACATAAAAAGTTTTTTCTGAGGCAGTGACAAGAAATCTAAACAATGAAGAAAATGTAAGTTTTCTTCAGGATCTCATGGGTCATGTATGAAGCAACATTGGAAATAATTGGATACGGTTGTTATATCAGAAAGCAAAAAGCTCTGTCTTCTATTGTGTTCAAGATGACAGTGATTCATGTGTATCTTCACTTTCTGTTTTGAGTGATGAAAAACCCTTCAAACTTGTTTAAGGGTTTATCTTGCTTTATATAATGGAAAAGTGCTTTCAGATACGGTTCATTCCAGGGTTCAAATAATTTATCTTTCTCTTAATTATCAAGCATTGCCTCCTTGGTATTGAATCCATTATCCAACCCCACATTGTTGAAAGACAGTAGCTTATAGCTCCAGGGACAATATTCTTCCAGGTTTAAATCCTGCAAAAATGTCCCGTCACCATTATGAATTCTTAGATTCAAATGTGACCAGCTGAGGTCACTTATGAATCCCTGAGAAAATGTTACAAAATACAAGAAAATAAAAAACATAGGGGCCAAGATGGCCAACTAGAAGCAGTGACGATCAGAGGCTCCCATCGAAAAGATCCAAAACACCATGCAAATCCTGCACCAGAAACTGAGGTATCCAGGTTCTGTCATTAGGACTGACTAGGCAGCTGGCATGACCCATGGAGAGGAAGGAAGAGCAGTGTGGTGCGGTGGCTCACCTGAGAGCCACAGGGGGTAGGGGAGCCCCCATTCCCAGTCACAGGAGGTGGTGAGTGAGCCCACTACCCAGTCTGGGAAACAGTGCTTTTTCCATGAAACTGTGCAACCCACAGATTGTAAGATCCCACTCAGGAGCCCACAACACCAGGGTCTTCAGTTCCAATCACAGAGTCATGCAGATTCTCAACATTCACTTGGCTAGAATTCGCCTAAGCTTGCCAAGTTCCCAGGGAGAGGGGCAGCCATCAACACTACTGTGGCTGCCTGTGGTCTAAGGCATCTGAGCTTCTTGGGGGAGGGATGGCAGCCAACATTGGCTGCAGGGTCTCCCTACAGGAACTCCAACTCCAACCAGGGGCTCAGGGACAGAATGCTGATCTCCCTGCGCCTGAGGCTACAGAGGGAGGGGTGGCCATAGTCTCCATGGACCAGCAGACTTAGTCTTTCTTGCTGCTAGCTCTGAGGAATTGGATAAAGAGTCAAGACCCATCAGTGTGCTGTATTCAAGAGAGCCATCTCATGTGCAAAGACACACATAGACTCAAAATAAAAGGATGGAGGAAAGTTTACCAAGCAAATGGAAAGGAGAAAAAAGCAGGGGTTACAATCCTAGTCTCTGACAAAACAGACTTTAAACCAACAGTGATCAGAAAAGACAAAGTAGGAATTATATAATGATAAAGGGGTCAATTCAACAGGAAGAGCTAACTATATAGCGCTAACTATATAACTATATAAAACCTAAATGCATATGCACCCAACACAGCACCATCCAGATTCATAAAACAAGTTCTTAGAGACCCAAAAAAGAGACTTAAAGATTCCCACACAATAATAGTGGGAGACTTTAACATCCCACTATCAATGTTAGATAGTTCAACAAGACAGAACATTTAACAAGGATATTCAGGATGTGAACCCAGCTCTGGATCAAATGAACCTAATAGATATCTACAGAACTCTATACCCCAAAATAACAGAATATACATTCTTCTCAGTGCCACATGGCACTTACTCTGAAATTGATCACATAATTGGAAGTAAAATGCTCCTCAGCAAATGAAACAGAATGGAAATAATAACAAACAGCCCCTCAGACCACAGTACAATCAAATTAGAACTCAACATTAAGAAACTCACTAAAAACTGCACAATTACATGGAAATTGAACAACCTGCTCCT